CCCGCGCTTGGGTTCGTTTGAACCCAGCACTGGAGGTTCCATCAAACCTAGGCTTGGGTTTGATGGAACCCCTAGCGCTGGGTTTCAACGAACCCAGGCACGGGTTCCATGGAACCCAACGCTTGGGTTCCTTGAAACCCACACAGGGTTCCATTGAACCCGTGCCTAGGTTCATTGGAACCCAACGCTGGGGGTTCCACCGAACCCAGGCCTGGGTTTCGGCGTGGGTTCCATGGAGGGCTTCTCTCAACAAAGAATTCTGTTGGGTTCCAAGAGAGAGAGAAAGGAAAGAAGAAGGAAAAACAAAAAAAAGAAAGCACTAAAGCTCGGCAAAGAAAGTGGACTCCTAGCATTGTTGACACTTGTGTTTTATGCAATAATGAGCCAGAGACAAGTGAGCACTTGTTCTTTAAATGCAGCTACACACAGAAGATCTAGAAAACACTTAGTGCTATGGCAGGCATTCCCCTAACTAATTCATGGCAGGGTCTATTGCATTGGATGGGGAAAAAGGCCAGTAGAAAGTCCTTGCAGAATACTCTTGTTAAGTTAGCATGGAATGCAGCAGTGTACCACACATGGAGGGAAAGGAACAGGAGGATCCATCAACAACATTTTAAAGCTGAAGATGAGATTGTCTATGAAGTTTAGTTTGATGTAAGGTGCAAAATCTTGGGATTTGCTCAACCAAAGTCTTCTCCCTTGCCTATGGATATTGCTAAGCAATGGGGCCTGGAAGATGTCGTGAAGGAATAGATTGGTGCAGTTTTGTTAGTTTGTTTTGAGAGAATGTATTCTTGGTAGCAGCTAATTTGCTACTTAATTGTACAATCAGTTTATTGATAATAAATTTTACATTTTATCAAAAAAAAAAAAAGATTTTTTTTTTCATATTATTATTTTTTTAATGTTATTATCATAAAGCCCAAGCTGGACTTGTTAACATGTAAAAAAATCCTGAATTAGCATTGACACATCAAGGTATAACAGAAATTAACATGCACATATCGCACGTGATCTTCTACCGTTAAATTTTGCCTTATTTTCCTAAACTCGAAAACATAAAAGATAAAAAATTATATATTGTAATATGAGGGGTAAAATGCCTCAAATTCGAAAAGTTAAAGGGCAAACAGATACCTTTTGCCGAAAGAAATGCCATTGAATTTGAGACTAGAAAGATAGAAACCAATCAAGAGGCTTAAGATTCCATCAGAAAATATGTCATGTGGATCTGAACACAATGAAATTATTCTTAAAATCCCAAACAGAGTTTGCTCTTC